TATAGAAATATATTGCAAATATTATAAACTTTAATAATATGACTAATAAATTAAGAATGGAGGGAGTGAGGTATAAGTGCCAATCTCTTATTTTTGGTAACTTTTTTTTTTAATAAACTTCAATGGATTATTAAAGAAATGCCCGTTGGGATAAAGAAATGTTTAAAGTTTAGTAATTGCTTGAGTTTAGTTTCTTGTCTTAAATACAAGCAAATTAGCTGAATGCTTTTGTTTTAATTTAATGTGATTAGAAATGAATATGATAAATATAAATAAGTATGAGTCTATATTTATAAAAATATTCTTTATATCCTTTTACCTTTGTCTGTAAAAAAAAAAAAAAAAAACATCAAGTGATCCTCACCTAAAGTTGGTAATGGTTATTTTTAAGTGAGTATTGGTTTTATTTTACTCTTTTCTGAGTCTGAGTACTTTATTGTTTGACCCTTGTGTGATAATTGTGCTACGTTTATTCTAAAATGGCGTGGAGGGTGCTGAAAAACAGGGTTAAAAAGCATTGCATAGTGTAGGTCGAGCCCTGGCATGTGCTACTACTTGTAATGACATTTGCTTTATAACTTCTAGCAAGGTACTTAAAGTTTTTAACTTAATCTCACCACACTTCTTTTTTTTTTCCACTGGCTATTTTGCACTCATAAACTTCTATTCCTTTACCCACACAAAGACGTGACTCATCCCGTTTTTGTACAACTCGCAAGCGTTGCATTGTTTTACGGCTAACAGGAAAAACTGAACACCAGTGCGATGCATAGTGACTTGCCCAGTAAGTACATCTGAAACAAATGAAAAAGAGGAAAAAGAAGCCCTCTGGACCGGCTGACAGTCATCCTGCAAGAGCAAGCCAGAAAGACTCAGCAACAAGGGAATTTTGCACATGAATTGGCTGCAGTCCATCTGAGGAGCTGAAAGGTTTCTTTCTTTGTGCTTCTGTGAGTTTGGAAATGAAAGGTCAGCCCTTTCCCTGCCCAAGTGAAATTGCTGGGCGGTAGAGCTGTAGCTCAGTATTAGCTTATGCTGCCAGCAATGGCAGATGAGAGAATGCAGCCGTAAACTTCATTCTGTAAGCATTTGGTTTAAGGACCATTCAGCGTGATGTTTGTGGAAACCAGTGGAAGCCCTGTATTGTATTGTGGCATGCGTGAGAGGAACCCTCTCTCTCTCTCTCTCTCTCTCTCTC